AACAGATTCTGGGAAGTTTTTAGGACCTTCTGGGGAAACTTTTGTAATTTGTACAGAGAAAACATGATACATGCAACATTTTCAGTTGTACAAGTTGAGAACTCTCCTCCCGCTTTGAAGTTTTCTTTCTGCTTTAGGCTCTATGAGACTATGATGGTGGCCTAATGCAATTAATTAGTCAACAGTTCTTCTGTTGGTTACTGTTAGTAATAACTAATTAGTTCTTATTGTTTTTTAAGGTGAAATAATCATGAGATATTAGAACATTTTCATTTGGTCGGCCTTCTTTAGTTCATTACATTATGGTACGTCTAATTTATTACATTGATTAATTACATCTCTCTCCTGTTGATGGTGGTGTGGGCAGTTCAAATCCTTTTCGCTTCACATGGCTAGCTACTACGCTAGTACTAGTTTGAAAAATCTGAGCACAAAAAGGAAGAAAATACAGAAATTTCGAAAGAGGCCGTGCATCGCCATTAATGTAGCTGACGTGAATTCAAGCGTGATGTGTTTTGCAATTTCCTTTGCCTTCTACATTATAATTATTAGGGAAAAAGGGTTTTTCTTCTGCATGAGCCATGAGGCCCTAGTACCTAGTATGTAGGTAACATGTCATGCATATTTATACAACCATACTGTTCAAATTAAATAAATGGTTTGTTGTTTTCTTGTATGTTACCATGGAAACTGATGCCCATTTTCAATCCTGTGATCGATGCTTCTGAATACGAATCCTGAAATTTCAAGTTTTTCATTACAATTACTGAATTAAAACATGCAGTCTGAATGCTGAGATTCATTTACTTTGCTCATAGTGTTCCATTGATCTGGAGGAGAAACATGAAATGGACGAAGAAGGTAGATGAGCTCATCAGTCTGATTCATTCAGGAAAACCCATTTGAGATGAAGTTCCACTGAAGAAGATTACTTAAATTGGGAAAAAGTGTTCTCATATTGGATATGCTGAAGAGATCTTGTGTGTTTCATACAGGCTATGATATGTGAACTCTGTTAGCCAATATCAGTTCCATGGCCGAATTGTGTATTCTCAGATTGATTCCCTTTGCCCAGTTGTCAAATGGGTTGTTCCAACGTTGACAAATCATGCATGCTAGCTATCAGAATTGAATATTGTACCTTCTGATGACAGAATTACTTCACTTAATGGGTTCATATTATGCTGATTGCTGCATTTCGTAGTAGGCTCTATGCTCATTAAGGTTGTTCAATTGAATGCAATGAGACTGGTTTATAATACTGTGCCTAGAATTAGTAATTGGTGAAAGGATAGAGACTGAGCCACTGGACCATGAGAAAGATAAGTAAATGACAACTAATACCAAATTAAAACATGAAATAATTGTAATACTTGTGATAGAGATTAGAGAGTCCTGACTGATGAGTTCTAGTCTACTTGTAAATCAAAGCTCTGAAAGGAAATTTTTGTGGATTTGGTGATACCAAGAGTTCCCATGCAAATTTCGTCTGAGATTTTTGGAAACTTCCATTGGATATTTGGGATCTTTGCATTGAAGTTTGTAGGATCACCATGTGAAGGTCTTGTTTGGCCGTCTGTAGGTGATAAAAAGGTCCATTATTTATTACAGTTTGTCAAATATAATATTTATTTTCGTTCCATGTGATCCTGATTTTCTCTTTGCTTTTCACTTACTCTCTATATGAAAAAAAAAAATCCAATCCAACCCTTTTGCTGAATTTTCTGTCTTAACTTTATTGACTTGACCAAATCCTACTTCCTTGTCTCTAGTTTTGTATTATATGCACCAATCAATCCGTCCCCTTCTTTCTCTTCTTGTCAAGAGTTAAAAACAATAACCCTCGGGCTTCATCAATCACTAGTAAAATTGATTGTGGGCCCAATTATCCTCCCATCAACTCATCATGGATCATGCACATATCATGAATGCCTACCGTATTATGATAAGCAAATGAAACACAAGATGGGTAGTCTTTTATCTTAATCCACCTAAATCAAACTAATTCAACAGTCAAAAAGCATTAGAATTTGCGTTGACCAGATTTATCATTTGATTAATCTCCAAATGATGATTTGCTAACATGCTAAGCAAGATGGTGGGCCGTTCATTTGGGTATTACATACATTACTAGGCCGTGTTACCCCAAATACAATTGTTTAACTAATCTTTTATTGTTAATCCATGCGAAAATCAAGGACGGCTAACTGACTACATGGCCCCCCTAGCCGACTGCTTGGGCCCACTTCAGAGGCTTATTAAACTCCTTTTAGGGAGAATGACATTTGTGTCCATTATGAAATGCTGATATTTCCCATAAGCCACGGCCCATTAGATGCATATGGCCCACTTAACTTACTACTCTGGACTGTTCAATCATTGGGCCATCAAAACATCAGAACACGGAGACTGATCTTCGGATCTTCCAATTAGTAAAAGAACATAAGTTTGTAAGGACAAGATCCATGATATCAACTGTACAAGTAATGTTCTACTCCGATACAAGCCCACAATTATCCATATACTGTTGAATGTGGATGTTTAGACCTTAGTAATCTTCGGCCCACAATTTGATCAAGGGAGAAACCTATCACCAGTCATGCAGCTTTATCAGCACTAATGTCCGATCGCCGGTAGGTTCTTTCTGAGGATCCATGAAATTCCGACTAGTAGTTGAACTTGATCTTGGTCCTGCTGTGCCGACGCATTAAAGTCGTTGCTGCTTCCCTTCCCTCATCACTGAATGGTTCAAAGTCATTAGAGAGTAATGCAACTCTTTCAGCCATCCATGGTTCATAGAATGGACATGATTTTTTTTTTTTTTTTTTGTATCACGCAATTCAAAGGGCTGAGACTCCATTTTTTTAGAGGGTTTCTAATGATTAAATATAAAAATCCCTCCTAAGTCCCTGTATTTAACCTTTCGATGGATTAAAAAATCGATACATATCATACAATACACACAGATATAATGCAATATTTTGAACCTTGCAGTCATCATGGCCACAGAACTGCCCATCTAAGAGGAGAGGGAACAACAAGGTGTAGATTGCAGCAATGAATTCAAGGGCCTCGGTATGTTGTTCACATAAAGCAGATCCATAACTGTAAGATCTCGTCCAAGGACTGTCTGAGTTTATACTCTGTATTTGGTGGAATTCAATTAAGCCCTCAAGTTGTAAACAAGTTTGTGAATTGAAATCTTCAAAAGTAGATTGAAGTAGGATGCCATTTCCAGCTGCTCTACAGCTCTACAAAGCAAAAATGTTTCAGAAAGCCATGTTTCCAGGGTCAAAATAAATGCTCTAGACTATAAACTTGAGAGCAAGTGTCACCATTTCTGTTAGGTTCCGTTTCTCCATTCCATACTTGTCTAGCAGACCAGCATTTAATAAACAGGTGGGTCCTGTGTTAACTTCAGCACGGAAGCCATTCTCATTATTATGGCCATCCACATGCACGTCGGTTCTATGCAGCACTAGGAGGATACATGGAAATCAGTCTATACTCAATTCAGGACCGGGACCAGAAAAATTGACAGATTTTGATACACATGAAGCCCCTTCAAATCACCATTCACCGTCTGTTAAATCTCTTATTAGGTGACATGTTCAGCATAGATATTGTTATTTAGAAAAATAGGGGATTCACAAATGTCCATTTTCTGAAATTATATAATCTCTAGAATACACCATATATTGAATTAACAAGAGGATGTTTTTCAATGTGAACTGTTTTTCTCGTTGAGTCATAGAAACAAAACAAAACTCGCTTGTATAAAATGAAATTGGGTCTTAAAACAAAGACATAGAAAACATGTTCTTGAAAATAAATGACTTAAAGAACATGTTTTCATCTGGTTATTTAATATCATGTTCCATAAATCATATAGTTTCTATTGTACATTTTTGTTTCTTTTTGGTTTTAAAACCCATTATTTTTGCTTTTGAAAACATTATTGTTGTTTGAAACAAAACTAACTTATTTTTGCTTTTGAAAACAAAAACACAGTTCAAGAATGTCTTTGTTTTTATGCTGATGTGGTAAGGGGTTTTGCATTGCCAAGTGGGCTGTGGTAATAATAACTGCTGCCTAAGACTCACAATGAACATATGGGTCCATTTTTTGGCAGAAGAGAAGTTGCCGCCCTAAGAGCTGCTCAAATTGTCTAGACCTCCTTTTGTAATGTTTCAACCATCCAACCTATCCACTAGTTTATTCAGAATCATATAAATTAAGTGCACATACATAATGGAATATAGGAATAGCAAAAGCTTATGACAAGGTCTATAGAACTGGTAAAGTAGTCTATGACCGTGTATAATGGAACTTGCTGTATCCCATGTTTAGATGATTGAACACCACCATTGAATGATCTCATTGGCAAAATCAACTTGGCTGAAAAATCAGTTAGGAAAATATCCTTGGAAGGTTAAGAACAATTCATAAACCAAATCGTTAGAAATCATGAGTCTATGATTTTTGGTGAAAGAACTCTTTTTAGGTTGTACACATCAAATGCAGTCATGACAATCTAAACATGCAAAACTGAGTAAGTTGGGGTGGGGGACCAAGATGCAAATTATGAGTCCATAGCTCCTCGTAAAATTCTATCATGTAACCTGTGATCTATCATCTATCTGTCTATCTGTCTAAACACACACACATAAAGATGACATGAATTTTCCTTTGGTAATGCAAATTTTATTATTTGGCAGAGAGGTCACCATATCTAAGACAAAAATAAAAAATTCAGGGGATCATTACCCCCTGGTTTTTCCCATGTTTAATAGGGCTATAGTCTTATAGCCAATGCATCTAGCAAGTTTAGGTAACATAACAATGCATAAAATTAAAACATTATAGTTGTATAAGGTACATAAAAATACAGTGAAAACATTAGCAAAAATATCCTTTTAATTCAACATAAATGATCTATGATTCTATTACTAGACAAATGAGAATGTAGATAGTGCTTTCTTCATCCATCTCAAGACAGGAGTCTGAAAAGCTCAAATTTTCTATACCATAGAAAGGGAAGATGATTCTTACATCGGATGAGTCTAAGATCCATTGTTCTTGACATTCACTCCAGCTCTGAAATACAATAATTAACAAGTTCATCCAAGTTTGAAATCTGAAATCTAGAGACTTCAAATATGGAATATGCCAAATATTAACATGTTAAGATTAGTCTCCACTAGCGCATCCCCTACAGCCACAGTGAATGCATTCAATGACCTTTTCCTCCCTCAGGTGTTGGGGAACACGGCACACACATGTGGTGCCAAAGTTGTGATCACGAGTTTGTATGCAATGTAAACAGCAAAGTCGTTCATAACCAGCCTGCAAGATCACAATCATGTTAAAAAACAAAGTTTGTAAAAGAAATTCGTTACCAAATCATGCAAAGACAGAAATTGGTTGTAGTAGTATTTAATGAGTAGCTGCTTTGAAGAAGATGCAACTGGAAGAGACAGAGACTTCAACACAGAGCTGCACAAATGGCTGTACGATGTCTGGCTCTCTAGATTTTTATTTTTTTTCCTTTATACCAAACATTGCTTATAAAATTTCCAGATGGACCTCACCTTGCAAAGCCAAAAGCCATAGCATGAAGATTTCACTTCTGCTATGACATGGTCTTAGCACAGGGCATAATCCTGGCCTTCAATGTATTGTTGTGGCCCCACCACAATATCACTTCATCTAATTCAAGGTGGGGCCACAACAATATATATCTAAGTATTTGATATTATAGTTTTAGAGCAGCATTAAAACCATGTCATGGAAAAAGTCGATTCAAGCATGAAAGCCCTCCTAAATGACAACTAAATCAGTTCTAAAACAAGGAATTGCCAAACTCAAAATACTTTTTTCTAAGACTTCTCTATCATTATTGTGTTTTAAATTGTTTAAAGTTAATGGATCTGCCGGCTTCAAATGGAAATTGGAATAATAGGCGTCAGCCAATGAAAGTTGATTTCAAGGAACTTCAGAAGTATGACAGATATTTTGTTATATCCACCAGAATAAGATGAGGACTTCTATTTTAGTGGGGACAGAAGTGAGACATCTATCCGACCCCCACCATTGGAATTCATGTCCAAGGGGCTTGAGACCTATATCCATAAAATCCCAGATTAGGATCTTTTTCAAATTTTGAAAATAATCCCAAGAATCCAAAGTTGAAGGGAATTCATGGACCACCCACACTATTTTTCTGGCCATCAAAGAATACCCTCAATTTTCAAGATGCAAGCTACTACATTTACAGAAACAAAAGGCTGCATCCTTCGTATACCCTGTGTTGATGCCACTATTTCAGGTATTAAGTAACAAAATTTTGTTCCTAACATTCTTACACATTCTTTTTCCCTTGAGAAATGGTAAATGCTTTGTATTATATATCAAAGAGATAGATTTGTATCTAATAGACATTATGGGTAAGCTGACTCAGATACTATAGAGAGTATATATAATATGCATATTATACATATTTTTTATTTTTAAACAAAACCATATTGAATGTAATACTTTTCAAAGATACAAAAAAATAAGTGATTTTTCATAAAAATCATATTATATATTTTTGATGAATTAACAGAATGAAAACCATAATATATACAAGCAATGTTTTAAAATGTGCAGGTGTTATATGAAGCATTTCACTGCCTAGAAGGGTGAAGCATAGTTCAAAATTTAAGAGGCATAAGCTTCCTTGAGAGGAGGGGTATGAGGAGGAAGAAGAAGGAGGATCTTATCGGGTTTTCTCTTTTTTTCTTTTTTTTTTTTTTATGAAAGATGTCTTGTATTAACAAGAATGAAGATGCATAACATTAGCTGAAAGGGGGGGGGGGGGGGAGGGGGGAAGTCTAGGGGCGGAGCCCCTGGCCCAAACTTTCTTTCCTTTCCCTTTCCTTTTCTTTTCTTTCTTTTTTCTTTTTTTTTTTTCTTCTCTTTCTTTCTCCCAAACTTTCTTTCCTTTCCTTTTTTTTCTTTTTTCTTATCTTTCTTCTCTTTCTTTCTTTCCCTTCCCAGCTTTCCTTTCCTCTTCTTTCTTTTTCCCTTTTTCGTATGAGGTGTGCATGAGGCATACGCTTCTAGCAGATCTCATGCAAAAGGCATATGAGGCAGCTCATGGACCTAAGGCATATACTTCAGAGGCATCAGCACATCTGGCATACACTGTACTCAAGTAATGCACATTTTCAAAAATGCGACAAAAGTTCAGGATAGTTTAACGTTTAATATATATTCCAAATATTTAAATATACTTAAATTTATACATTTACATATTTTTAATGGATTTACATAAAGGCAGCCCAATGCATGAGGCCCCCACCAATGCGGGGTCTGGGGAGGGACAGATGTATGTAGCCTTAACTCTGCACATACAGAGAGGCTGTTTCCAAGATTTGAATCCTGGTCACCCAAGTCGCAATTGAGCAATCCAACTGTTGTGCCAAGGCCCACCCTCTATCAATGGATTTACATACATTTATATAAAATATATGGTAAGATTTTCATTCCATATTTTGTAATTAAACACATATTCATCTCTAGCCAATCCTTTTACCATACCACATTTATTTGACTGAATTTTTAGAAAAATTTTTATTATTGGTGCAAGGGTAAAACCTTGGGTTGTGACCACTCTGTGCAAAGAAAAAGTCAAAAGTTAGGTCCATATCCAGTCTACCCCTCCTACGACCGCATGCAGCTGCTAGCCAGGACCATAAATGGGTAATGACCCTTTGGGGCTGAATTATACACAAATTTAATCTATGTGATATACATATATACTATGGTACCTATGGCGTCAAGAATTAAAAGGAAGTCCAGTCCTAATACTTGGTAGCATATGTTAATTAAGGCTGAAACTGAAAGAATGTCATTATGCAAGCAAAGATTCTTCCACACAAAGATGCCCTATCATTCTGTTCCTTGCATAATAGATATCAACACTGACCTTTTTCCACTTGGCAATTAAATTGCGGTCAGCATAGCCTTGGTCCAAGCAAAACTCATACAACTCCCTAGAAATTTCCCTCCTGACATGAAAAAGATCAAATATGTATCGGCTTCTTTGATGGGCTATTCTAAAAATTGGCCATAGCGCCTCACATTTTCTTTTCCCATCATGTGGATTTGTGTCAGCTGTTTATCAATGTAAAACATACTTTAGAATGTAAAAGCTTTTAAGACAACTGATTATATATGCCAAAAGAAAATTGAAGCTATTCATAGCTTCTACAGAATCAACTCTACCATGTAGTGGTTGTAGATCTAACCTTCTCGCATTCGTGCTTCCATTTCATTCAGAGTAGGTTCTATTAGCTCCCACCCATCAGGATATTTGAGACGGTTAGTCTTTGTCTTTGGCATCCTTCGAATTAGTCTAGTGGAGATGCTGCGAAAATTGCCATTTGCCAAGAAAGAAATTTCCGGTCAACAGCCAAAACTCAGACAGTTATAATTATGACGTAGAGCTAGCGGTAGCAAAGAGTGGGGACATTTTGGGTTGGTAAATATGTTCTGCTGATGCCGACTCATAGTAAATTTGGTCTGGGAAAAATGAACCTGAGACATGGAGGCAGATTAATTGTGTTCCTTTGTAAGAAATGATGGATCTTGTCGGGTTAGGCTGACCGTTTGGTTTTGGAGACTCGAGACCTTCTAACAGTCAATTAATCAAACAAAAGATACGCATGTCATGTCGAGAGAACCAGAAACGAGTGCCCCAATAATCAATGTTAATGGTTACTCTAGAATGTAGACTTGCAAGAATATCATATGCAAAAGTGCTTATGTGCAAGATGCCAAACTAGAAAATGCAACCTATCAAAACCAGCTGAGTAATGTAGCTTGTGCAACTGACCCAAGATAACAAAAAGTGAAAAAAAGCAATTTAAGGTTTAAACATCTTGGCGAACAGAAGGCGAAGCTTTGATAATATGACAAAATGGCGGTAAAAGAAGAAATGAGTGTTGGGATATTAAGTAGAAAGCAACTTGCCTTTGATCGATTTTCTAGTAAATCTGTGTCTCTTCTTTTCATCAAAAACTACTGAACAGGAAGGGGAGGAGAGAGAAATCGGAAACCATGTTCTAGTCTATAGGAGCGAGTCTGCATTCAGCCTCGGCAGAGCCGCTTTATTCAGCCAGTCAGACTCAGGCAATAACTTTAGAAAATTACATATGGGCTGGCCCAACCCATCCAAGCCTAAGGTCACGAGGCCCTCAACCTTATCCAAGCCTATACCCTTGCTGGGCTGGGCTAACCCATATACATAACACTGGCATAAGAAGTCAAGACCAGTTCCCACCACCTATAAAAACCACCAACTTTTAATTTTTTTTATCGGTTTATCTAAGCGTTTTGAGGTCCATTGATACGAATACGATACATTTGATGATTGTTCCATGTGCATAAATTATAAAATATCAACACACGAGATCACACGTATAGTGACAAGCTTAAGAATAAGAATTTCCACGATTTTCATATATATATATATATATATATATATATATACATTTCTATTTTGGCCTCATTCATGTTTATTAACTTTACCCCCCTCCCGATACTGTTAGTAGACTCAAAAAAGTGTGATATTTCAATATTAAAACATGTATTTGACTATTAATTGGACTGGATAGGGATTTAAGTTCATCCAATTCAATAATCTGAATTTGATTAAAAGCTATTATATATATACTAGGAGGGATCCGTGTGATGCACGAGATTTGTTAAGCGAAAGATAAATAATAGAAAGGGTCATTTACTAAAAGTACCCTTGTAGTTTCATGGATTTACTAAAATCTACTCTATTGTTAGCATTTTACTAAAACACCACTTATAATTTGCAATGGATTTAATCAAYCTTBCATTAKATRAYADTGRAAAATGACAGTGTTGACCCTAATGTTCATTTAAATAAATTTAATCAAAAGAAAATAGAAATAAAAATACCATTTTTGCCTTTAATGAGACACGAGCAATCACTCTATTGGCTATATTTGGCCAATTTTGTTTTCTGTATAAAAAAGTGTTACGGGTATTTTTGGAATAAAAAATCATGGGCCTAATGGAAAAACAAACACTCCTTAATGAAATGTTGATTAAGTAAATAAGTTGTAAAATATATGGGATATTTTAGTAAAATGAAAACTATAAGGTAGGTTTAAGTAAATATGTAAAACTGTAAGGTGTGTTCTAGTAAATGACCCTAATAGAAACACATAAGAGTATACGATTGTTTTATATTTTCAACTTTTTAAAACTGCAACTTGTAGTGGCGGTGGCAAGAAGACAAGGTGGAGACAGGGTGGAGAGAGAGAGAACCGGGAAGACAGGGGAGAGAGAGCGAGAGCGAGAGAGAGAACCGGGAAGACAGTGGGAGAGAGAGAGAGTGAGAGAGAGAACCGGGAAGACAGGGGGAGAGAGAGCTTCCATTACAACTTGCAGTGGCGGTGGAGGGAAGATAGGATGGAGAAAGAGAGAGAGAAAGAGAGATATAGAGAGGGAGAGAGAGAGAGAGAGAGAGGGAGAGAGAGAGAGAGAGAGAGAGAGAACCACTGCTGCAACTTGCGGTGGTGGTGGTGGGAAGATAGGGGGAGAAAGCAAGAGAGAAACGAAACGAGTCTGAGTGCGCGAGGAGATAGGGGTAGTGCACGTCATTTCCAAAATATTGTAAGGGTATTTTGGGCTATGCACCGGCTCTGAAACACATCTGAGCACATTACGAGCCGGCCCAATCTCTATTATTTTCAGATATGAAAATAAGATTCAGATCAAGTTTAATAGGTAAAACCAAACAAGTGTGAGGATTTGAAAAACAACATTTTCAGATTCAGACCTCTAAAAAGTGCAATCATACGAGGCCTAAATTGAGTTTCAAGTCGAAGCTCAAAGTTTGAAACTCATTGCAAGCCTACTTATGCTTATGTATAATGTTTTTAATCTTTATATGTATAATAAGAAATAATTAATTTTTATATAAAGTTTTGTACATTATTGAATTCGAGTTGAGCTGAACATATGAGCTTTTGAGTTGAGCCGAATTCAAATTTTATTTCTAACTCAAATGAGGCTCAAATTGGATGAAATTAAGCCTTGTGATTTTGATCTGTTGAGCCGAGCTTGAATAATCTAACAATCGGCTCAGTTCATATCCACCCGTGTTTAGTAGTCCAATCTTTTATCAAGGAAATTAAAAAGAAAAAAAGAAAAAAGAAAGTTTGGAGAAGTACGAACAAGCTCAATGCAGATTTCTGACTTCTACTGCAGAGCTATAAACATTCAAAATGTCAAAAACTCCATTCTACACACCAATGCCGGCTCGTGAATTAACATTAATTCCGAGCTGGTGTCCACCCTAACTGTACTTTGGGCCTAAAAATTCTGACCCTGGGCTGAACCGCCATTAAGAGGATTTGACTATCTTATTGGAATGGTTGTTTTCCATTTAAACTATCTGATTTGCTGGTTCCATCTAGGTCCTTATACGAGAATCCCACTTTTGAGTTTTGATAGAAAGGTTGGATCTATTGAATTTGTGGGTTCTCACTCCTCATTGTCTTTAATTAAACAATGGTTTAGGCCTCGAGCTAAAACTCATCCTTTTCAGCTCTAGCCTTTTGTGGCACTATTCCATAACAATTTCCTGTAGGATACGTCACGACAGGATACATATTCTACAAGTCGTGTATATCGGTACGATACGCCACCGTATCGGGCCATAATGCACCATATTGGTAAATATGATCCGATACACATCGATATGGAGGTGTATCCATGTCTAGTTTGATAAAATTGTACATTGAGTACTTTTGGATTGTTTTTCATCTGTAATACAAGTTAAAAAATAGTATTATGAAAACTAAAATAAATAATTTAAGATTTAATTTTTCCAAAATATTATAAAAATAATATATTTCATCTACCTTAGATGATTTATTTATTTTATTTTACACATAATTATATGTTAAAAATGGAAACATAGTTATTATTTGAAAAAAATAGAGTTATTATATAAAAATACTAAATAAATAAATTTTCCCAACAAAATTAATGGAAAACAGAAAATTATAATTATAAAAACTGAAACGAATAATTTAAGATTTAATTTTCCCAAAAAAATTAATAAAAACTAAAAATTAAATATAATCTATTTTATCTACCTTAAATGATTTATTTGTTTTATTTTACAATTATGTGTAAAATAAAAACATTATATGTTAAAAATGAAAACATATTTATTATTTAAAAAATGGTTGTTATTTAAATAAAATGCTAAATTAATAAATATTTCCAAAAAATTGAAAATTATAATTATAAAATTGAAAGAGTGACAATTATTGTACAATGTTTGAATGTTCTAGAGTCTTGGTATTGTTCATTGTAATATTTCTCATATGTTTATATCTTATTCATAGATAATTCAGCTTTTTGTATGCATTCCACTAGCATATCCAAGTATTTCTATATCTTTTGTTTGTATTCATACATTTTTAAACCATATTCGTATCCATATCTATATCCGAGTTATCCGATATAATACCCGATACCAATATTTTGATCCCTTACTTTTAACTATTTACCCTCTTTTATCATGATTTATTTAAATGACTTAGCTTTTATATTATTGATGAAGTAATTAGATTCTATCTTCCACCATGGTTTTGAGAAGTTTCCTCCAATAATTAAATTCCACAAAACAAATATACTTGTCAATTGTCCTTGCATATTTTACTAATATATATATCATTGACAATCACTTTATGCAGAGAAAGATGTTCGTTCCATATATAGATATATAATTCCATCCGATACAAATTCGTCTACCCCCCTCCCCCCACAACAGAAAGAAGAAAGAAGCAAAGAAAGAAGAGGATGATGACCAATACAAATCACACCTAGAGAAGAAGTAGCAGAAACGTTCACAGTCCAGTGGACCCAATCAGCTTTGTCAAGCCAGAAGTTATGGCCATAGCCAGCCAACCCCCAGTCAGCACTCTCACACTGGATCTGCCTACCGGTGCCCTCCCCAGCACTGCTCCCACCACTCCGAACACCAGCAAGGCCAAACTTGCTACACCCACAACCACCCCCAGCCTTACTTTCCACTCCTTTAAGAATGCAGCTGCTAGCAGCGGCAGAACAGCCCCTGCCGAGAAAGCTAGGGCCGATGCCAAAGCGGCTTGCACTGGACTCGGTAACTGCACCACCTTTTCTCTTTCTTCTTCTTCTTCTTCTTCATTCTCTACACCATCTCTACTCATTCTCTTCTGTCTCTTCAACTGAGCCACTTCTATATCCACCTGTGAATAAACAGAGACAAACTCTCCAATTGCCATACTACAAGCTCCGGCAACCAACCCTGCAAACCCAGTAAGGATCATGGCTTTGGCATCATCTTTAACCGATCCAATCCCCATCATCAAAGAGGCCGTGGACACCAACCCATCGTTGGCTCCAAGAACCGCCGCTCGGAGCCATTGTCCCCTCTGGGTGTAGTTGATGTCCTCCTCCACCTCAAGCCGCTCAACATCAGCACCAGGGATTGACACCTTGGTCTGATCAGCAACATTGATAACTTGTTGATGATCCGCCATTTCAGGTAAGGAAGCAAAGAAGAGAGACTATTGCTATTGCAGTAAGCTAGGAAAGAGGATGAGAGAAGAAGAAGATAGGAGTGTGGAAGACACGCGCCCTGATGGAGGATATTTATGGAGGGGAGCTTCTAGTATTGTAGGGCTACATAGTGGTGGTGGGCGCACAAATGGGACAAAGTGGGGTTATATTTAATAGATTGGATCGACCGATGTGCTCATGCCAACCCAAGCTATTATGGTTATAACCCATTTAAAACCATTTCGTATTCCTTGCGTCTCAAATTCTAAATATTGTAGCCATGGATGCATGATATAATTAATGATGCTCAACCGTTTCACTAACTGTTTGTTGCTGTTACATAGCAATGAAAATGATTAAGATATATATACATATATATAGTCAGTAAAAAGCAGCCAAAAACCCTCATCTTAGCTTCCCATATATCTATTGCAATTTGTTTCAGGTTTACAGTTCCGTAAGTCACTATACGTACTGCAGCAAAGAATCGGATAAGAAAGGTTTTCTGAAAGGATTTTCGGGTTGGGTTGAAGGTCTCAAGCAATCCAACAAGTCTATCAATACTTAAAACCATAAAAAAAAATTATTTTAGAGGCTGTGATGTTTTTGTTATGAGAGAAGTATGACTCTTAAAAGCTAGTTAAAAAAAAGTGAAGAAATTGGGACAATCTAAATCCAGCCCAAAACCCAAAACCCAGCTGCAATCCAACCTTACTAAACCCGATCAACTTAATGTCATATGGCTGGGAATTCAATAACTCAATCTGGGTTTGGATTGACCTCAACCTGACCTGACTCTAAAGGGGACATGGTTGTACATGGGGCAAAATGAATCAAAGAACATGAACCAAAGCTAAAGTGATGAGTTCAAAAAGCATGCACCATAGATAAAAAATTCAAAATCTATGGTGCACATCTCAAGCATTTATAATAGGAGGTTTTGAGATGTGCATACATAGATCATGTTTGGGACATGCATGTTGGAAGTATTTTCTGTGCGGAGCAGATCCGGATTCTAAAGTGATATGTTACAATTGGCATCTTTATGAATCAATAAAAAGTAAATAGACCATGTGATATTTTTAATAAACTCTACAACTTTCATATGTATAGAAATCAAAACACAATGAAGGAGATGATGCTTTAATATGGTTATAGAAACAAGAGGATCTACCTTTCCCTGCTGCAAGCTGCAAATTAAGGCATTGGGGGACTGAAAAGTATTTCAATGTCTTTTAGCTGCCTTCACTTACTCTTTTCAATGCAAAGAAATAAAAAGCTCTGTTTTTTTTTTTTTTTTTTTTTTGCAATGTAAGCCTGACGAGATATGCAAATTTCCACATATGCATCTATCCATTCATAATCAGTGAACTTGCATCGAAATATGCACTTTTTTTATCTCATTTACCCTCATTATCAGTGCAATTTTTGCATGTGATGCAATATTGTCCGGTCCTCTCTCACACACATGAAGCGGGGACCACATCATTAAAATTCCTGTTTTACTCCTCCCAAAGAAATTAACAATCTTCATCCTCCCTTTCTTCTATTTCATATAAAGTGGGCATGGCATCATTTAATTCCATTTTTCCTCACAAACAAATAAATAAGGTAGCAGTAAATCGAAAATTGCATTTGGCCCATTTGGATTTCCATACGTTTGCATCAATGACAAGCAAATGAAATTTGCATTGCAAATAGATCGAGCCCAAGTGATAAATGTCCGTGCTTTTCCGTAAATGGAGAGAATGATGGTTCAGCCCAGGGTGGTAGATCCAAAGTATTATTAGGGTAGGTTTCAGTTTGGAATTGATGCCAATTCATGGACGGATGTTGATGCATAGAATATGGATTGTTGATATTTTGAATGTTTACAACGTTATAATAGAAATCAGAAATCTGCATTAGGCCTGTTCATACTTTTAGGAGTTGAAAGGTTGGGGGTACAACATATGCACATAATAAATATCAATGCTAATTCAGCATATTTAATTTAAGCAGCCCAACCAGATAAGGATTGCTGAATAGGAGAGCAGTTGATTAGGGGGCCAAAGTTTGTGGGAGAAAAGGAAAAGAAAAAGAAAAGAAAAGAAAAGTGTGTAATCCACTCGACGCCCACCATTAAATCTAATCTAAATCCTGGTTTCACCACCTTTTTTTTTTCTACTCTAATCTCCCACACAAACCTAACCTTTATGGATTCAGCGACCTTTCCTTCCATCGAAGGGACGTCCACTGAACATAGAATATTGAATGCTGCCTCTTCGTTAGATCATGCTGTTTAATTTAAATTCTTGGGCATCCCTGAAATGCGGTCAAATGCGTCTCTCTATTTGTATTGGTGGGAAGTTGTAATTTATAAAGAATGGAAAATCAATCATGATACATTTTAGAACAAGTCTTGGTACATGATATATAGAAGAAGCAAATGAGAAACAGTAAAAGTTTTGTCTTATAAGCTGAGTGGATTTTCGACTTTATTTTATTATAATATGGATCACCAGCAGTCAATTGTGGTGTATATCAGACCAAGTTGGTGATATTAATTCTGACCCAAGCAAAGCAAGGATGTCAGTGTGAGGTCATATGCCAATGAAAGTTGATGATTCAGTTTGGATTGATATACATGGGTTTCTTGAATTATTGGCGTTAAGAGGTATATGAGATTAATCAGAGAGACACTTCTTGAAATTATCCAGAGCTGCAAAGTGCAAACGGATCCACCTCTATGTAGTCTGATTTAATTCGAATTAGTTACTATAAATTTTGCCTTGGATATTGTATTTTTACAAGAGTCATAGGTTCAAGTTCCAGAGTCATTATTTTCAATTTATTTTTTTATTGATCATATAATATTAAAGTTATTTTTTTTCAATTCATTTTGTTAATAACATACAACATTTTTTTATCATTTAATTTTCGTCAGTTAATTTATCAGTGTTATAAATATCGAATCGTAATTCAAATTCCATTCGAATCTGATATAAATCTAACAAAAAAACTAAAGTTAAACTAAGATATAAACAACCATCTTATTGCAACTCTTGAAGTTATGCTCAACCTTAAAGGTCAGTCTGTTATGTGTCTTGGGAGAATTCGTCCTTAAAAGCTAGCTGTTAGAGAGAGGAAAACCAAGTACATATATACTCTACAACAGCATCCCATATTATCGAAGTGGGATATCTCACATTAGCATCTCATATTATTAATATGGGACAAATAGATCATAACATTCCACCATGCTTTGCAGTCCCTGGTGCCCATGCAGGCTGACTTTGCACTAATCCCCCTAGTTCCGATCAAACACTACAATACCGACCACCACTTGCACTACATGATTGTAATTGGGAGGCATAGTATAAGCTCTGATTTCATTTGTTACATGCCTTAGAATAATTCATCCCTAAAAGCTAAATGTTAGAGGAAGAAAACCCAAGCACATATATACTCAACAACAAAACATTCCATACTACTAATATAAGATATTTCACATTAGCATCTCATACTACCAATATGAAACAAATGGTTAATAACACAGTCTCTCTTGCACAATAGGCCAGATTGACTAGTTGGGAAACTCGTTGAGGCAGTGGTTGAGCCTCTAAAGGTTTGAGGAGATGGCAATGAGTCCATGTCAGTGGCAGAGAGAGAGAGAGTATCTAGGTCGTGATTTATACGGGTCTTTAGGTATAGGGCCCTTATTTATATTATTTTCCTTTAGTTATTAAACAAACTATTGACTTAACATAACTTCTAAAGATTATTTTAGTTATTAAACAATTTTATTGTTGTAAAATAATCTTTAGAAGTTATGTTAAGTCAATAGTAGTGGACAATTGTCAATCATAAATCTATAATATGAGTCAATAGTAGTGGACAATAGTAGTGGACAATTGTCAATAGTATTTGAGTTATATATTGTTATATCTACCTATTTAGAGGTCTCTTCCTATAACCTACCTTGTATTGCATCTGTATTTTCTTAAGTACAAGTAGGTGTTAAGGTATTACAGGCACCTACAAGTCCTATTAGTTGAGGTATTACAAGCACATAGAAGTACTACTAGTTGTAAGACTTTGCTGGCGCCTATAAGTCTAGTTGGTTAATGAAAATCTTCAAGGATGTAGGCAGAGATTCTTGCAAAACGTCTATAAAACTTATGTGCCTTGTCATTATGCTTTATTTTCTTTATCACTAACATTACTAACTACTTTTTCTACTTACAAAAGTTTGAATGCTACTAACATTACTAACTTTACTAATTGCATTTGGTTTAGCAATTTAAGCTTACTAACATTCATCAAATGCTAAGCATTTAATTGACTATTTTACATCTATAACTGTTATTTTAATCATTCTATTTATTGTTCAACTGTATTATTTACTTTCAATAGTTATTTTGTCCTTGGTTTTGAGATTCTAGTAGTAGCCTTAAACTACATGAATCTCACTACAAGAAAATTGACCTTTGGCAACAGTCACTTCGTTACAATTACAAATGGTTGTTGCCAAAAGATTAGCATTAACAACAATTGATCAACGTTGTTGCTAAATCAAATGAATTGGGAACAAAGGTTATCTAATTGTTGCTCATTTTATCTATAACTGTTGCTAAAGCAATGAATTGGAAATAAAGCTTGTCACCGCTTTCTTATTGCATGTCTAACTGTTACTAAATCAGTGAATTGGAAACTAATGTGAATCAACCGTTGCGAATTCTTTCTTTAAATGTTCTTTGGCAACAATTATTGAAAATTGTACTTACAAACATATTTAATACATCAACAAATGGAATAAATAACAAAAATTCATTTTAATGAGTCAAGCTTGGATTAACTCCAATGATTTGATTATTTGACAACCAAGTAATTAATTAACCAAAATAGGATCAATATGACATCACAATTAAAATAATAATATACAGAAAAAAATTTTAAATAAGACAATAAAATATAAAAAATTTGAAGAAAATATGTAAAAATTATATTAAATATTTAAATATAATGATTGAGATGTTTAAAAATATAAAAAAATGCAAAAAG